GGGCCCGGGAACCCGCCCCCACGGCTCCGCCCCCACGCTTCCCATTGCGCCGACTGCCCGTCACTCAGCTCAAACCTCTGTTGTAATTGGACAGTTTTCTACGAGTGGCTGGGCGATAGCCGCCCATTCTCCACCCCTGTCACCCGGCCACACGCGCACACACTCCTGGCAGCGATTGGTGGGGCTCTGATTGGTGCGCTCGGGGATCCGTCAACCACGCCTCTTCACGATCGCTCCCTGTCATTGGTGAAGGGGCCAGAGGGTGGCAACTCCACGCGCCCTTTGATTTTATTGGTTGGTCTGTGGGGCTCAGACCCGAACCGGGAGGTGGGGTGCGCAGCTATATTAGTCCAATCTCCGGTTTGGGAAGGTGGGACGTACTGGCCACAGCTGGAATCCCGGGAGAACCTTCTGGAACCCGTGCAATGTCAAAGGTAGCCTTAAAGGAAAAGCGCGCCCACCATGGGCGGTGACTCTGGGCATTTTCCCCTCATCATTTTGGAGGGTAGGAGAGAGAATAGTGCACTCTGGGAGGTGTAGTCTCTGGAGTAGAGTCAAAAGGTCGCCCCTTCTTAACCTGTTTTCTACCCAACTGTGATCTGTCTTCGACCTGATTTCGCGTTACCTGACGTGACCTTTCAAACAGGCCTGGATTTCACAACAGGCCCCGGCGGACACGCAGAGTTTGAGGGCCCTGCTCTCGCCTTTGCAACCTGGTCGTTCCCCCAGGTCTAGCGCCGCCCTGATTCCCTTTCCGAGTCCCCTTCTCTTCTCGGTATAACCCCGCATCCCAGCTGCCTCACGAGCAGCCCCCAGCCCCCATTAGAGTTCTCTCTATGATCTTTCACCCCACTTTCCCTTTGAAGTCCTACATTTTACACCCCACCCTTACTTTTCCTTCTTCTTGACCCCATGTGATCTCCAGTCTCCCCCCCGCCCCCCCCCAAGATCTCCTGGCTTATCCTATTCTTAATTCTTTCTGCTCCTATGATCTCGCCTATCCTAGCGCCCCGCCTTAGCCTTTCATCCGAGTTCCACTTGATCTCCTTTATGAACACCCTCGGAATCGTACATTTCAGTCCCACCCCACCCCCATTCCCCATTAAATCGCAGCCCGGTGTCCCCGCTGTTCAGAGCAGGCAGGGCTGCGGAGGCGGTCACCAGCGGAAGCCGACGCTCGAGCAGACACGGTGCCTGGCGCCCACGTCACTGTCTCCCAGGCCCATCTGTGCTACAGAGAAGGGGGCGGAGGTGGCGGGGGATGGGGAGGAGGTACCTCGGGGTGAAGAGGGAGAAGGAGTTCTTGGAGGGTTTGAGGACAGGAAGGGCCAGGGCAGAAGCTCTCACCTCTCTTTCTTGGCCGTTTTTTTCAGAGACAGAGTGTGGACACCCATGAGGTGGATAGAGTGCAAACTGGATAGAGCTGGAGACTGAGGCTGGTAGAGCATCAGTCCCCAGGCTACAGAGCAGAGCAGGAGAGGCCGAGGGGACTGCAGTCTCCACTCCCTGTCTTCTTTCTGGTACTCACTATGGGTGTCCAGGTGTAAAGAAGTGTGAGGTCTGAAGAAAGGACAGGAAGTGGGGTAAGGGGGCGGGATGGAGAAGAAGTGGGGTTTGGGGGATAAGGAGAGAAGGGAGGGAAGATAGGATGAGGGGGATGAGGAAAGGAGGGGAGGGGAGATAGGTAGGAGAGGAGAAGATGAGAAAGGGAACAAGGAATAGAAGGGAGGGGAGATGGGGTGAGCAGCAAAGGGATGGGAGAGATGGAGTGAGGAAGACTGAGGCAGGGAGGGGGGGTGGGGTGATGAGGGAATGGAATAGTGTGACGTGGAGATGGGCAAAGTAGGATAAGGGAGCCAGGACTGGTGCTGTCTCCTTAGATCTGGAGGCTCTCACTCCCCTAACTCCAGACTCATGGGGGCCTGGTTTGTGGGTGGTTCTGTTTCCTCCTATTCCAGTTGTGTATTTTGCCTCCTCCAGCCTTGCCTGTGCCAACACGGAGGCAGAACATTTAGTCACCGGCCCTTAACCTGGTCCTTGTGAATGCTAACGTGTAGGCTTAGCACTCTGAGGGGTCAGGGCTGTGCGTTCAGGTATTGGTGGCACGGACTCCGTTGTCTGCTAGGTTCCCTATGGCCCCCATGTGTCAAGCGTGTGTGTGAGGAATCAGGGTGAGGCCTAGGGCAGAAAAATGGAAGCTCTGGAGACAGATGGTCGGCCTCGTGAGGTTACTTGCCACATCTGTCCCTCATTTTCTTCTTTGTAACATGGGGATGGACAACAGCAGTACCTCATGGGATTATTGTGAGGGTTAATTAAGGTAACACATGATGCACCTAGTTCTGAGCCTGGCATATAGATAATCCTCACAAAATTAACTGTTAGCCTGAACGTTCACAGATATCTGGGTGTGTGAGTGCATCTGTGAATGGTTGTCTGGTTGGGAGTTATTTGTACTGTTATAATCTGTAATGCAATTTGTGAGCAAGTGTGTGTGTGTGTGTGTAATTAGTTTTGTGTGGTAGTGTGCCTGACTCTATGTTATTTGCTGTAGGTGTGTGATTTGTGTTAGTGTGCACATGTGATGAAATGACTGTGTAAGCCTGTGTCTGTATGACAAAGAGTGAAGTGTGGCTTCATGGCTGTTGACACACTGACATCGTGTCTGCTGGTGTATGCATGCATCTGTGATCTTGTCAGTTCCAAACACCCCATTTACCCTCCCTCCCCATGGGATGTCATAATCCTAGGTGTTCCTCATTTCCTCACTCTGAAGGAACCGGAAACCTGGGGGCACACATGGGGGTGGGTGCCAATGGGGAGGTAGACAGGAGCACATGTTCTGCCCCAGACTGTGTATGGGAGGGGGAGCCCCCTATCCTGCACATATCCCAAAAGCTTCAGGGGAAGTGCTCCCCCTCCATCCCATGCTCAATTCCCTGTCTTGTTACCATGGCAGCAGTTGCCAGGGGCTCCCTTGGTTGCTAAGATCTGGGTGTGGGAGGCTGCCAGGCACTGTTGCCAGTAGAAACAGAACCCTGGGGGAAAGGAAGACTACCCCCACAGCTGCCAGCTCTCTGCAGTGACAGGACTAGCCCTTTGACTTCTCCGGTCCCCAGATTGTACTTATGATTTGTATGTGACAGTACTAGGGTTGGTAGGGGGCTTTAATAGGAACTAGAATACTGAGACTTACCTTCTGAGGAGAGAGGGGGCTCTAGCTTGCCCGTTACTGTCTTTAAGGTTGGGAGGCCTTTAGAAATTAGTGACTACCTCATTCTGTCCCCCATACTTTATATTTATCCCCTGGCAACATCTGTGCTGCGTTTTCCGGTGCTGGTGCTTATCACCTGATGCTTCCACCTGGAACAGGAACGCTACATTGATCCTGTTACCTTGGATGCAGACTGACTTCTTCCTGAGGTCAGACCCATAGCATCTCACCTGGATACATACTTCATGCTGACACCTGAGCCTAGACTTCAGTCCCACACTGAGTCCTAATTTTGGCCTTAGTCTTAGTCCTGTACCAGACAGTTCGCCAAACCCAGCCTCAGTGTGAGCCCTCCTCCTAGACATGAATGAGCCCTCATCTAGATACAGATTTTCGAACTCATCCGAAGATTCAGTTCTGATCCTGTACTTTGATTGAACAATGACCAGCGATCTAACGCTCTGGCACTTGTCTGGCATCTCCCTGCATGTTCGGAATCTACACTGACCTGTACCATAAGCGCTCAAGGGGTCATTTCTTGCCTTGGGTGAGAGGACAGTGCAAGGAATGACCAGCAGAGGGCGTGCAACATCAGGTCCTTGCAGTGGTTCTCAACCTTCTGGCCCTTTAAATACAGTTCCTCATGTTGTGACCCAACCATAAAATTATTTTCGTTGCTACTTCATAACTGTAATGTTGCTACTGTTATGAATCGTAATGTAAATATCTGATATTCAGGATGGTCCTAGGCGAACCCTGTGAAAGGGTCGTTCGACCGCCAAAGAGGTCACGACCCACAGGTTGAGAACCGCTGGTAAAGGTTGAACTAAATAAATTAAAGTTCCTAACTCAGTTATGCTGATGCTTTGGGGGTCTTGTAGGTTTGTACAATCATGGATCTCCCTACAGCTCAGCTGGGCTCAGGGCTGGACACTCACCAGAAGGTACTTAACCATTTCCTGGCATCATAGGTCTCAAGTGTACTGGATACCTGGTTGGCATCCTCCTCCCCAACTAACACTTCTTTGATATGCTCACACAGCTTCACTGCCTTCGCTGATACACAGTTAGCGTTTAGTCCCACTGAGCAGAAATCTGCCTCTACCCCATCTTTGGTCTTAGCTCTGTGTTTGAGGTCACATTGCCCTTATAGGTCCCATCTGCCAGGTATCAGCCTCTGCATCCCTCACGTCTGCTCCTCTCCAGGCTGAACACCCCTCAGGCCTTCATGGGTTCCTCTGCTGCTTTGTTCCGTTCCAGGCACTACGACCATGCTCCCCTGTCTGGGTTCAGTTTGTGGAGCCTGATTTAGCTTTTAGATTTTTTTTTTCTCGCATGCCAGTTCAGTGTACAAGTAAGCCAGCCTGCTCTCTCCTCTGACTCGGACTCTGTTCCATGTAGCCTCAGGTTATATCAGTCTTATTGTAGCCACTGATACTGTTCACCCATACCAAGTGAAGACTGCAACATCTTTTCTCTCTGAGCTGCTAAATCACATCTTGCCCATTTTACTGGTTATAATTTTGAAAGGAGTGTTATATTTACTTTAAAAACATACTTGAAACAAATGAAATAAAAAACATTTTGGCAATATGTTTTGAGTTTCAGGGCAATTCCTGGGCTTGGAAATCTCACCGTGATGCTTACTT